GGTGACTGCGAATGTTGTCATTTTACACACACACACACACACACATTAGTCACACTTGCAATAAAGTGTATATCATATTCATAAGTCATGACTGTCGCTGGTACATAATTCATCAGTGTCAGGTCCCTTGGGTCTCGTAGTTTTTTTTTTTTTTAGATTGCCCCCTAGGGAGCTAGTTTATTTGGCACCCCCTTACATCCTGTACAAGGTGAAGCGCAGAAGCGTTTACACCGCCCATCTGGGAAGCATGCTAAGTTCATGCTTGCCTTTATGACTCATGCATTAAGGGCGTAAAAGCCTGAAGGGTCATGGGTTTTGTCAGCGAGTTACATAAAGTGACAGAATGATGAGTGCGTGGGGGGAAAGTTCCCGGTACATTTCATGTGTTTATGGCAAAGCGTGGTGGGAAAACACAAAGGTGTGTGGGGAGTAGTGTGGGGAGTTTGGGGAGGTGTGGTGGTGTGGGGAGATGTGTGGGGGTGTGTGGAGAGTGTAGGGGTGTGGGGAGGGTGTGAGTCCCCATACCTGTCCCAAATATAAGCACGGGGAGGGTGTGGTGGTGGGGGGGAGAGGGGTGTGTGGTGGTGTGGGGGGAGAGGGTGTGGTGGGGGGGGAGAGGGTGTGTGGTGGTGTGGGGGGAGAGGGGTGTGTGGTGTGAGGGGGAGAGGGTGTGGTGGTGGAGGGGGGAGAGGGTGTGGTGGTGGAGGGGAGAGGGGTGTGTGGTGGGGGGGAGAGGGTGGTGGTGTGAGGGGAGTGGGGGTGGTGGTGTGGGGGGAGAGGGGTGTGTGGGGGTGGAGGGGGAGAGGGTGTGGTGGGTGTGAGGGGAGAGGGGTGTGGTGGTGTGGGAGGGGTGAGAGGGGTGTGGGGTGGGTGTGGGGGGAGAGGGTGTGTGGTGGTGTGGGGAGGAGGTGTGGTGGTGGGGGGAGGGTGTGGTGGTGGGGAGAGGGTGTGTGGTGTGGTGGGGGAGAGGGGTGGTGGTGTGGGAGGGGTGAGAGGGTGGTGGGTGGGTGTGAGGGGGAGAGGGTGTGGTGGGTGTGTGGAGGGGAGGGGGTGTGTGGTGGTGTGGAGGAGGTGAGGTGTGGGTGGGTGGGGGGAGGTGGTGGTGGGGGGAGGGGTGTGTGTGGGGAGAGGTGTGGTGTGGGGGGGAGAGGGTGTGTGGGTGGTGTGAGGGGGAGAGGGTGGTGGTGTGGGGAGAGGGGTGTGTGGTGGTGTGAGGGGAGAGGTGGTGGTGGAGGGGAGAGGGTGTGTGGTGGGTGGGGGAGAGGTGTGTGGGTGGTGGGGGGGGAGGGGTGTGTGGTGGTGTGGGGTGGGAGAGGTGTGTGGTGTGGGAGGGGGAGAGGGTGTGGTGGTGTGAGGGGAGAGGGGTGTGGGTGGTGGGTGGAGGGGGAGAGGGTGTGTGGTGGTGTGGAGGGGGAGAGGGTGTGTGGTGGTGTGTGGGGGAGAGGGTGTGTGTGGGTGTGTGGGAGGGGAGGAGAGGGTGTGTGGTGGTGTGAGGGGGAGAGGGGTGTGGGGTGGTGTGAGGGGAGAGGGGTGTGGGGTGTGGGGGAGAGGGTGGGTGGGTGGAGGGGAGAGGGTGTGGTGGGTGTGTGAGGGGGAGGGGGTGTGGGTGGTGTGGGGGGGAGAGGGGTGGTGGTGTGGGGGAGGAGAGGGGTGGTGGGTGGAGGGGGGAGAGGGGTGTGTGAGGGGAGAGGGTGTGTGGTGGTGGGGGGGGAGAGGGTGTGTGGTGTGGGGGGAGAGGTGTGTGTGGTGGTGTGGAGGGGAGAGGGTGTGGTGGTGGGAGGGGAGAGGGTGTGTGGTGGTGGTGTGGGGAGGGGAGAGGTGGTGGTGTGAGGGGGAGAGGGTGTGGTGGGTGAGGGGGAGAGGGTGTGTGTGTGGTGGGTGTGGGGAGGGGGAGAGGGTGTGTGGGGGTGTGGGTGGGAGGGGGAGAGGTGTGTGGTGAGGGGGAGAGGGTGTGGGGTGTGGGGGGGGAGAGGTGTGTGGTGGTGTGGGGGGGAGAGGGGTGTGTGGGGTGTGGAGGGGGGAGAGGGTGTGGGTGGGTGGGGTGGGAGGGTGGGGGTGGGGGGGGAGAGGGGTGTGTGGTGTGAGGGGGAGGGGTGTGTGGTGGTGTGGGGGGGAGAGGGGGGGGTGGGTGTGTGGAGGGGGAGAGGGTGTGTGGTGGGTGGGGGGAGAGGGTGTGGGTGGTGGGAGGGGGAGAGGGTGTGGTGGTGTGGGAGGAGGAGGAGGGTGGGGGTGGGTGTGAGGGGGAGAGGGTGGTGTGTGGGGGGTGTGTGTGGGGGGAGAGGGTGGTGGTGTGGGGGGGAGAGGGGTGTGGTGGTGGAGGGGGAGAGGGTGTGTGTGGTGTGGGGGAGAGGGTGGTGGTGGTGGAGGGGGAGAGGGTGTGTGGTGGGTGGGGGGGGAGAGGTGTGTGTGGGGGAGGTGTGGTGTGGGGGAGGTGTGTGGTGGGGTGTGGGGGGGAGAGGGGTGGGTGGAGGGGGAGGTGGGGTGTGGGGGGAGGGGGGGTGGGTGTGGTGGTGGTGTGAGGGGGAGAGGTGTGTGGTGGTGTGTGGGGGGAGAGGTGTGTGGTGGTGTGGGGGGGAGAGGGTGTGTGGTGGTGTGAGGAGGAGAGGTGTGGTGGTGTGGAGGGGAGAGGGTGTGTGGTGGGTGGGGGGAGAGGGGTGTGGGGGTGGTGTGGGAGGGGGAGAGGTGTGGTGGTGTGGGGGGAGAGGTGTGTGTGTGAGGGGGGAGGGTGGGGTGGAGGAGGGAGGGTGTGGTGGTGTGGAGGGGGAGAGGGTGTGTGGTGGTGTGGGGGGGAGAGGGTGGTGGTGTGGGGGGGAGAGGTGTGGGTGGGTGAGGGGAGAGGGTGTGTGGTGGTGGGTGGGAGAGGGTGTGTGGTGGAGGGGAGAGGGTGTGAGGGGAGAGGGTGTGTGGTGGGTGTGAGTGGGGGGGAGAGGGTGTGTGGTGGGTGTGAGGGGGAGAGGTGTGGGTGGGGGTGGGAGAGGGTGTGTGTGGTGGTGTGAGGGGAGAGGGGGGGTGGGTGTGGAGGGGGAGAGGGTGTGTGAGGGGGAGAGGTGTGTGGTGGTGTGAGGGGGAGAGGGTGTGGTGGGAGGGGGGAGAGGGGTGTGGTGGGTGTGGGGTGGGAGAGGGTGTGTGGTGGTGTGGAGGGGAGAGGGTGGGGAGGGGAGAGGGGTGTGTGGTGGTGTGGGGTGGGGAGGGGTGTGTGTGGTGGTGTGGAGGGGGAGGTGTGTGTGTGTGGGAGGGTGTGTGGTGGTGTGAGGGGGAGAGGGGGTGGGAGGGGGGGAGGGGTGTGTGGTGGTGTGGTGGGGGGAGAGGGTGGTGGTGGTGTGAGGGGGAGAGGGTGGTGGTGTGGGGTGGGAGAGGGTGTGTGGTGGTGTGGGGGGAGAGGGTGGGGAGAGGGTGTGTGGTGGTGGTGGGTTAACGCTGTGGAGCTTGTTGTTATTGCTCTCATTTATCACCCTGTGTCTGTCTGTCATTCTATTTCACGACTTTTTATCCTTTTTAACTGTCTATCTGTCACCATATTTTATCATATATCTGTCTATCTTTCTTTCTGTCTCATTTCATTGCATATATCTGCTTGTTTTTTTTTGTTTACCTGTCTGTCGTTCTCATGTCTGTTTCTTGTCTGTCTCTTTCTGTCTCATGTCTGTTCGTCTGTCTGTCTGTCTGTGTGTGTTTTAGTTTCCACACTCAAACTTTTTTGAGGAAACATTATGTGAAAGTCATTATCTGCCCCCTGTGGTTACGATGGTCGCTTTAACATCAGGTTGTAATGGGGATATCACCTTTATGTGGTGTTGGAGGAGGAAGGGTTAGGGAAGGAAGGGAGGGGGAGGGAGGAGGGAGGGAGGAGAAACAGGGATAATGACCGGATATTTAGTTACTGGTTGAAAAGGATTATTATGAAATGTGTGTGTGTGTGTGTGTGTGTGTGTGTGTGTGTGTGTGTGGTGTGTGTGTGTGTGTGTGTGTGTGTGTGTGTGTGTGTGTGTTTAATCATAGCATATAACACCTGAGATCACACCATAACACCATATCCTACCATAACACCAGATATCACACTAGAGTATAACACCATGTATTACCATAACACCATGTATCACCATAACATCATATTACACTATAACACTCACATACCATAACACCACACACTACAATATAAAATACCCTTTCATACCTACTCACCATAACACCAAACACTCACTATAAATCACATACCACACTATACACTACACACTCACATAAATCACCACACACCATACCAACACACACCTCACTATAAACCCACACACCACACTATAATACCCACACATTCACCATAACCACACACTACACCATAACACACACATAATTCACACACTACACCACACACACACACACACACCATAACACTACATAACACACACATCTCACCATAACACCATAATCACTCCTATAACATCACACACACTCACTATAAAACTACACACTACACATCACACCACACACCACACCAAACACCTACACCATACCATAACACTATATATCACCCTATAACACCACATACCACACCATAACACCATACAGCCTTTCATACCCACCTCACCATAACACTATATATCACACACCACATAACACCAAACACTCACTATAACACCACACACTCACCATAACACACACACACACACACACACCATACCACACAATCACAATTATAATATTACATACTACACATTATCATACACCTACCATAAATATCATATCATACAATACACTCACACACCACACTATAACATTATATCATACACTACCACATACCACTATAATACTACACTTACATAATATTACACGCCACACTACACACTATAAATACTACACAGCTCATCATAAAACCACACACATACCACACAATTACACTATAACACAGTCACTATAACACTACACACACATACACCACACCACACACCACACCATAACACCACACAGCTCACCATAACACCCCCTCCTCTCACCCCAACAGTGGA